GTACATAATAATAAGCTAACAATTTGTATATAATTTTCATTTTATTTAACCTTAATTATATTCTCCTTTTATCATATAACTAACTAAGATTAAACCAAATCTATTCACATTCAGCTGCATGAAAAGTAATTGAAAATAGCTTAATTGCTAGTTGTATTAAGTAAATCCTCTCTCTTGGGAAAATTATCTTCTATAAAAATCCATCAAAAAATTGGCAGTTTAAACTTATCTAAATCAATATCAAATAGAATTTAATGTGTGCGAAATAATTTTATCTAATACATTAATTTATATTATTCATTATTTGTTTTTTCCATTTTTTTGAAAATTTCTTCTGCAGTTAACAAAAGTTCTCAAAAAGTCTCTCGTGTTCAGCAAATTTCTAAATGAATAATCAGATTATTATTTAAATTTTTTTTAAAAAAGATCATTATTATTTAATAGAAAAATTACTGTTTTTTCTAGAAAATTGCAATAAATTAATAAACTAACCTTTATAACCTAAATGCAAGAAGAAACATAATAAATATATTGAATTAGCAAATTCAATATAATATTTATTAAAAATTGCAATACATTGATGACAGAAAATGTGATAATAATTTTGAGGTAATTTATTAATTGCAATTCTAAGCTAAGCTAATCCAATGAAACAGTCTATAAATGTATATGACTATGATTCTAATCTTAAAATTGCTTTTTTAATAGGATGTAAAGCAAATGCTAGTGCATGTATATTATCAAAAAAGATACGAGACTGTAAAACTGATAAAACTGCTAATAAAAAAAGATCAGCATAATCAGATTATAACTACAATAAAGTAAATAAATAAAAAACAATTTTATAAGTTAAAGAAATTAAATAGTATGAACATAAATAAATAACAGTTTTAATTTTTACCTTCTCTAAAACTTCTTTATGATGCTTAATAGAATTAATATAGTCAAACATTATATACCATCAAGTATTAACCTATTGTTTTAAATTACCTCCATTTAATTGATAGTTTTCAACCTTTTTTTTTTTTAATGTTAAACCTATCAAAATAAATAAAATTTGAATATTTATTATAATAATAACTAATAGAATAAAAAATTATAAATAATTACCTCTCAGATAACTTTTTTTAAAAAAAGTTACAATTGTATTATATTGAGTTAAAATTTGATTTTGCAAAAAAAGTATTATATATATCTTTAGAAATTAAATTGATAGCATGTGTCATATAACAGATATTAATTATATTTTGATATTTTTTAATAATTATTTTATGAGCATTTTGAATGTTTACTTCTACATCTGTTACTATTGCTGAAAATTTTTCTGATCTGATATTTGTAATTACTTTTTCTATTTCATTTACTAAAAAGAGACCAATATGACTTTTATCTGATAAATTTTTTAAACACCACAAATATTCTTTATGAGCGGATATATGAATAAGAAAATTTCAAATTGATTTATTTGCTATATTAATTCACCTATTATATGCTTTAAATTTTAAAGAATAAAATAGGTTTATATTAATTAATAATTAAAAATTTTAAAATTTAAATAATTTATTATTTACATAATGTCAAGTTTATAAAATTTTGTAATTCCTTAATAACTTATCTGTTTATAATAGCTAACTTTTTTATCAAAAAGTTTATCAAAGAGTTACTCTTTAGAAGAAGGTGTATATTCTAGACATAGTGTTTTTAAAAGTTCTATAAAAAATGAATTTTTAATTATATACCAAGGTATACCACATATAATAAAGAATTTCATACATATCCTAGTCAATTTCATGACTTTTTCTGAAGAAATCTTTAAACTTTCGTGAAAATCTATTATTTTTTTCTGTTTAATTCCACAATTATATTTTCATTTTTTATTTTAATTATCTATGAAATTTTCAACTCTTATGACAAGTCATTTTAAAAATAACTGTTTTATTTCTATTAAAATTTTAGAATAGTTATTAGTGAGATATGCTTTTAAAAATTGAAGTAAACCTTTATGTTAAAAGGTATTACAATATAAGCAAATAGCCTTATAGTGACCATCAGATATTTTTTTGCCTTATTTAATATAAGTTTTCTATACAAACAATAACTTTAACCTACCATTTGAACCTTTTATTTTTTGTCTTATATAATAATAAACTCTTGAAGAAAGGTTTGAGAGACTTTACTCAATATAATAGGTTAGATATTTATATAACAAAATAAACAAATGTGCATTGTAATAATAAACTGCAGTTGCTATGTGTTTATATATATATATGCTAATCAAATTCCTTTTTAGGTTTGGAAATCTCAAAAGTCTGAAAGTTTCATAAAATTCTGAAAGTTTTGGAGATTTAGAAGATTTTAGAAAATTCAGAAATTTTGATTTTCTGATTAATAGTGAAATTAATTTCACCAAGTTTTGAAAATTTTACCTGCTGATATATTTTAGTTTCACTTAAAATATTAATATGCAACTATTATATAAATTATTTTTATATATCTATATTTAAAATAATAATAAAAAATATTTAAAAGTTTTTAAAATATAAAATAAAAGAAAAAATTATAATAAAGTTCTTTTTTTAAAAGTTTTAGTATTATTTTTTATTTTTTTTAATATTATTAAAATTCACAATTTTGATTAGTCAATTAATAATTACAGGGGTTAAAATTTTATATAATCAGTACAATCTCACTTGAAACAGTATTTTTTAAAAATAATACCTTTGTAATTAATATTTGAATATTATTCACTATTTATGTTGATCTAGTTATAAATAATACTTGAATGCTTTTCAAAGTTAAACTTTATAAAAAATAATTAATACCTGAGTATAACATCATTTGTATAACATTACTTTTCCTATTATTTGAATATTTTTCATAATTTTTATATAAAAAAAGAAAAAGTCTTAAGTTTTTCTCAATATTTATGAAGTGTAAATTAAAGAAATAATGAAAAGCAATTGAAAATAAAAGTAAATTTAATTTTTTGATATTTATTTATTAAAGTTGTGTAATTGTAACTTTTATATACAATATTCTTTATATATTATATCTTCTTAAAAAAATATCTAGTTTCTTATTTAGTATCTATGGGTACTATTCAATTTGAAAAATCATATTTTTTGATTAAGATCCTGAATACATATGTAGTGATATATAATAATATTTTAATTTAATTTAATTTTTTTATTTATTTTTTAAAAAATAATTATAACATAAGAAAGAATAATAAAGTATTAAAACTTATAATATCTATATATTTATTAAAGATATTATAAAATTTAAAATAATTTTAATCATTAGTTATTAAGTTATTACATTTTTTTTATTATTTTAATTACTTTTTTTCTTTATTATAAACTAATTTACTTTTTTTTTATTTTTTTGTTTTTGTATATATCTTGGCATTTAATAGTTTAATTTAAATAATTTTTTTTTATTTTATAAAGCTTATATAGTTATAAAATAAAAAAAAAATTATATAAATTAGATTACTAAATGTTGAGAAATTGTATTTAACATTTTAATATTATTTATTTTATTTTATTTATTTTATTTTAATTAAAAAAATAATTGCAATATAAGAAAATAAGATAAAATGCTAAAATTTTTTATGTATAATACTTATATATTTAATAATAATATTTTAAAATTTAAAGCAATTTTAATTATAAATTATTGAATTATTGTATTTTTTTACAATTCTGATTACTTTTGTCTTGTATTTGTATATTTATAAAAAAAATTTTAACAAATTATTGTGTAAATTTACATATACTTTAAAAAAAATGATATATGCAAAGAATTTTCAATCATATGCATATATACATAATCAAAATATTAAAATTACATACTGATATTAAAAATTTAAAAAAGGTATGATAAAGAAAATTTTAGCAGGTATATAGTTTTTATATATTTTAATCTAATAATATACTATAAGTTTTCACTTTTATTTAGTATTAGTTATTTTTATTCTTTAAATTATAAGATTTATAGGCAAATTTATCTTATTACTATAAATTTTTTCTGATTTACTTTTATGAAAAATTAAAATTTTTAAATTTATTTATAAATATAGATTATATTATAATAATTTTTATTTTTATATAATAAAAGATTTAAAGTTACTTATAAATTAAAAATTTATAATTTTAAAAAACTTAAATTATTAATCTTATGAAAATTTACTTTAGCAATATATAATTAGTTTAAAGTAAAGCAAAGAACTTTCATATACTACCTACATATTATGTAAGATATTCTATTGTCTACCTATTCAATAATTAAGTTGATGTTGATTGACTTTTACAATATTTTTTTTAGTTAAAATCATTCTAAAATTAATAATAATTTTTAAAACTATTTTCTAGTATTATAAGATTTATTATAAAAAATAACTTTAATTGTTTATAATTTTAACTTTTATTAATAATAAAGTGATTTAACTAATTCATAAATATATATAATATTTTAAAATAATTATAAAATTAAATTATTTATAAAACTTCTTAATAAACTTATATTTTTCATATAATTCTTATATTTACTAATTGCTAAAATAAACATCTTTGACTTATAAATCCAGTCACTGGACTTATATATGTCTAAGTTCAGTTAGTCCAATTTGTCTAATTGGCCAACACTGCTTTCCCTGATTTTTGGCCGGCATTAACGCATTAAGATATATATATCTCAATCAAGTGATCGACTAATCGGGTTTGGATTGCTATGACCGAATTATTATCAATAATATCGTAATTAGTATATTTTTCATAAAAACGTCATTTCAAAAATAAGAATGATGAAAATATTACGATAATGATGTGAATTCAACGAACGAGAATTTTATTATAATAATTAATTAATGATGTAAGTATTAACGCTTAAACCAAATCCTTTCTTATAAAAACCTTGACTTTTCCCTAGGTAAAATTCATAAGAATATCCGTTTATTTTTATTTTTTTTTTTCAATCACATTTTTTATTATACGAAAACCATGTCTAATCCTACACGACATAACGATGCAGATCGTTCTGCGCAAGAACGAGAAGCAATTCAAACTCGTGATAAAGCTGAACAAGTTGCCGAAGCTCTTAGGTATAATTATAAGTAATCTATCGTAAATTTTTTTAACTTACGGATGGGGAAATTATATCCGGATTATCTCATATGAAACAATCACACTTTCGTTTATAGAGAAGGAAAACTTCCATCGAATCAACAAATCACATCTGCAATTGAATCAATTCAAGAATCCGATGTTATTTATGATTCTGCACGCGGAATGTCTCCTTTAGGCAAACGAGTACTGACGAGTCTCGAAAAGCTTTTAGAGAGCACGAAGAAGTTGCTAGAAGAAAAGAATGTTGGAGATGAAATACAAAATGTTTTCTACTATGGTAGTAAAGCAACAAGTGACGTTGGTGGTAAGCTTTTGAACAAGTTGGTTTTTCTTTTTACGGCTTCAAAAATTATATATTTTCACCTTTTTTTATCACTTCGACTAGATTCTGCAACAATTCCTGAGGATCTGAAACAGAAAGTTTCTTCCGAGGCTTCAACTTCCCAATCATTGATTCAAAATGCGATTAAAGAAGTTCTATTAATTCCACAACTACTCATCACAAGTTCAGAATTCAGAAAATTAATAAATGATATCCACAGTATTCTTCAGGATTCACTTTTACGAACTGTTCCAGGCAAAGAACCACCACCAGAAACGGGTCCTGAACTTGGAACTGATAAAGAGAAGTCTCTTCAAGAAGCAAAACAAGAATCTAAACATCAAGCGCGGGAAAGCACTTATCCTGTTGCAAAGACAGCCGCTAAAGTCTCTGGAGCTCACATAAAGGAATTTAGTGAGGGCAATAAAACCTTTCAAGAAGCCGCAACTGGTGGAGCAAAAGAATTAGCTTCACGTGTCAGGGACACAGTTGCCAATGTTCAACTCACCGAAGAACAACGTGATCAACTTGTGGAAAGGTTCAAGAATGTGATGATTGAAACTCAGTCAAGACCCGAATATCAACAGGCTCTTTCAAACCTCATCAATATCATTTCTCATCTTACTCAACAATCAAAAGAAGTGACTGGTCATGTTGCAACTCAAACAAAAACACAAGTGCAAGAAAGTACTGATGAAGCATCTCTCCAAATAGCTAAGCAAAATGCTAAGGATTTAATTGAGAATTTCGCAAATCATAAATCGCTTGATCCCTTGATCAATGCTTTGAGAGAACTTGGTAGTAGGGTTAAAACTGATGAAGATTTGAGATCATTCTTCGAAGATCTTCAAAACTTTATACTTTCTTCATTACGCGATACTCAATATGTTCAACAAACTAATTACAGGGAACACGGTTCAAGGCTTCTTAACACTGGAAGACATTTATTACTTGAGAGATACTCTGATAATACTCAAAAAATAGTAGATGAAGCTAACGCATTCAATCGAGCCTTGCAGGAAGACAGAACGACAGCTCAGTGGACTAGCGACTTTGAGAATTTAATTCGTGATATGTTTTTGGATGAAAGAGATCAACCAACTGTGAAATTCGAACTCATAAAGGATTTCGGTAAAATAATACCTGTAGTGGCCGATAAATTAAAATATTTACCTCTTCCCAGAATCGAAAAGTATGATTTTATCCTTTATTTCAAAAAAAAAAATCGCGTTAATGATCTAAACATAAATCGTTTTTATATTTTTATAGCTCTGATGAAGAATATGATTACATTTTTGATAATGTCGTTCTTTATCTTTCTGAACTAATGCCAAAACACTTGCACATGAGCTTCACTTCAGATATTAATCTTGACCGAGAAGAAAATGACATTGTACAGAACACCGCATTTATAGAAATGTAAGATTAAAAGTAAATCCAACATTTTAGATGTCATACTTGGTTTGCTAATTTCTCTTAATACTTTTAGTTCGAAATTACGTGCCGATGCTCGTAATATCGCATTCTATTACAAGAAGAAGAAAGGTCTCATTAACATGATGGACGTAAGTAATAGTATTCACTTATTCATTCCGTATTATACGTAACTTACATATTCCAAATCACATAGGTCGGATTGGTAGACTTCGCAATTCCGAAAAATGGCTTAACCATGAAAATTAAGCTTTTATTGAATCTACCCAGTGATACAAATCCTTCACTCGACCTCAGAGTTTTAGAAGCCGACACCACTATTGACAACTTGACAATCAAATTCCATGACACAAAACACGAGTAAGTCTTATTCTGATGAAATGTTTTTAATTTGTTATTATCGTTATCATTAAGTACATTTTTGTCGTATTTTTTATAGTTTCTTGTACATGTTCATGACTCCTTTAATCGAAAAACGTTTGAAACGTCAGTTGGCTAATATGGTTACCGACAAAATGATTAAATTCTTCAATTATGTGAAAGATAACATTACCAGACTTCAATCGCAAGTGGGTGATTTGCAAAAGAAACGCAAAGAAAAAGGTACAGGTCCCCAAGTTAGTGAAGAAAAATTGAAACAAAGTCAAGCCTGGCAGAGTCCGGCTTTTAATTCCGCTCTTCAAGTACGGGAGGAATAAATTATTTTAGTGCATCAGATTATCAATCTTTTTATGTAATTTATTCATAATTTTTATTAATTAGTAAACAATATTTTTTTTTTTATTTATTTGCATTTGATAAACAATCGTTACTATTAAATAAAAAATCATTGTTTAAAATTTTCTTACATTCAAGTTGTAGAGGATTTTAAGTTTATTTTCTTTTCATTTACAAGTCGAAGATAAGCCTATAGTCCAATGATAAATTCCAACTGTTAATATCATTGCAATCTGACCCATTAAGATGGAAACTAATGCATATTTATATGCATGTTTTCTTGGAAGCTGTGTGATTTCGTTCTAAATAAAAAAAAAATGTTAAAAAATTAAATTATTTCTCGCGTTATTTCAGTTAAAAAATATTTAAACTTACTGCAAATGAAGAAATTGTCGTAAGACATCCTATAAATGTACAAAGGGGTTAAATTTTATATTTATAAATTTCTTAATTTATTTAAAATTAAAATTACCACAAAATCCATTTGCAAGTCCTTCGATAATTTCGCAACTTAATTTTGAATAAACTATACCATTACTTAATAGAAATAATATTCCAATAACTATTGAACCTGAAAAATTTGCCGCAAAAGTTCCCAACGGAAAATGTTTTTTGAATGTATTATATTTAGATAAATAACATCTAATCGAGGTTCCTTAAAAGGGGAAAAACATTTATATTTATTTATTAATTTTAAAGCAAAGAATGTATGGAATATACCTATGGGAGCGAATACAGTAGCAAATATTATATTCCTATTTACTTGTACTGTGCTAGCTAAAGCAACGACGAGAACAAATGATGCAATTCCGAATCCAAGACATATAAAATCCGCAATAGTAAATTCATTTAATTTTGAAGGCTTTTGAACTATTTTACATGATTTTCCCAATCGAATTTTATGTTTTGGAAGAATTATATCTGCTAAATGTTCTCCAAACTTCAGTCCTGTCACAGACATTCCTATTGTGATTCCGATGTCTGCAAGAGATGCGAGAACCTAAAGTTTAGAGAAAATGGATGTTTTAAGAAAATTTTCTTATTTTTTTTGAGACAGAAATTTGAAGGATTTGTGTACATTATATGTAACGCTACGATGAGGAACGTGCTGTGAAATAAATTCATTGAATATCAAAAGAATCCATGAAGAAAAAGTTGTTATAGATCCGCAAAAACCTGTCGTCAGCCCTATATATAAAGGAAGATAACTAACGAATCAAAATAGTTACAATTTTTTAATTTAAGAACACATATTCGTTTTAATATTTCAAATGTTTTTGATCAAATCCTTTCTACCTTTTCATAATGAATCCGTTCCTTGCCAAGCAAAATCCCATTATTACACATCCAACAAATTGTGGGTAAATTAATGCAAACACTGGTGATCCAGGAAATGAATGGAGATTAATAAGTTCGATACGAAGAAGAACTCCAATAATTGAAAACGGAATAAGAATTGCAAATACAATAACTTTTCTTTCTATTAATTCTATTGATAATTCTTCAACTTCTTTATTTTCTTTTTCTTGAATAGTTTCATCTACATCAGAAATTTCTACATTATCGGAAACAATTGATATTGTATTTGAAGGGCTTATATTATTTTTATTGAAATCGTTAACACTTGATGAATCTTGCATTTTTTTTCTAATTGAGAGTTTTCTGTATGGGTTGCTCTTAATATCTTAATAGGAAGCTTTCATGTGATTGGTCGATTATGTTATACAGTGGTTATTATGTGATCTATTAGTAAGATGCAGATCATTCTAATAACATCTGTTTAATTCCTAATTCTATAAATCAAAATCATTGCCAAATATAATATATTAAAAGAAAACAACTTTATTATTATATTTATTTGTTATAAAATATAAAAAATAAAGTTTTATATATTTAAGATTTATATATTTAAAATTTAAAAGTTAATTATTAAAAAATAAGAAATGAAAATTTAGCAAATATAATATTATTAGTATTTAATGAAATTATTAAATTGAAGATCTTGATTATTATATAAAAAATTTTAAGTTTACATAAATGTATATACTTGGATATGATTTTATAGATTCTATCAAAAAATTAAGAAATAATAAAAGTATCATAAAAGCAATAGATAATAGCTTTAAATTTGATTTTCTTATTTTTATATTATTAACACATTTTTAAAATAAATTAATCAAATTTTAATACATATATTTCTATACTTTAGTATTAATTAATTTTAATAATGTCAAAATTAATTATATTAATTCAACATTTATTATAAATTATTACCCAGTTGAAGTAATACCTCTGATGAGTTTAAGTTTGTAGAACAGGGAATCATTTTAATCTATTACATCATAGAATAAATTCATATACAATTTAATGGCTTTCTCTTTAAATTTAGATAAAACTGTATTTTTCCTTAAAAATAACATATACTACATTAATAAAGGATCTAAGATTTAGGTCATTTCAGTATGCTTCTTTATATCTTTTGTCAAGAATAAAACATCCTTAATTATGCTCACCATTGGATTAGATTCACTGACTGAATCTAATCTACTATTAACTAACTCTATATAATCTTTTTTCTTTTGAAAAGTTTTAGCTTGGCCTTCATTTTATTTTGCATATTGAGTAAATTTTTCAATATTTTTGAAAATAGTCCTTTCACATCAGACTTATTTTCATGTCATATAGTCTAAACTTATACAGGGCTACCGTTATATTTAAACTCAATCTGTAAAGCATTTTATTCTCTTTCTTTAACTCATCTGCTTTTGAAAGTGTTAAGACCATCTTCTCAGGTGAGAGGTTGTAAATCATAATTATGTTAAGGTATAAGAAAGCAAAGTCTAAACTTGTGACAGGATGCTTATTTTCAAGACCTTTTTCTGGCAAAAATAAATACACTCCTGAAAACTTCCAAGATGCTTTCTGATTAGAAATTTTGTGATGTATAGAATGTTTTGCGCTTATGCTTCAGCACTTAAGAGATTAGATACTTTCATTTCTATAGCATAATAATGCATGTTGAATAATGATATATAAGCGATTGAAGTAACTTCTCTATAATCATTTATGATATTCTCTTTCACTATGAACTTTTGATAACATAAAGCATCTATAATACAATAATTTATGATTTTGTGCATATTTTAACTAAAGAGTTAAAAGTTCTATCCCTTGCTTCTGAATAATACCGTAGAGTACTGACTAAACTATCTCAGATTTTTTACAAATCCACCCCAATTTTGTAAAGTACCTGGGTAGTTTAATTAGGAAGTATTTTGATAGAAGAGGTTTTTTTAATCAGAATATATGTAATATGTAGATCAATATATATAATATACTGTATATTATAAGTACCATTAAATTTTTCGCGTATTTTTATCGCGTTTCACTTATATCGTATTTCACGATTTTTTTTTTAAAAAAATGGTTATTAAAGAAAACCAAAAATCTAAACATTCTAAAGTTACTTTAAAAAAAATGACAGTAATACGTATGTGAGAAGTTAATAGTTTTGCATTATTTGCAAATATTTAAATAATGTTTATGCAATAGCAAAACATTTTGGTTTAGAACTAAGCCAAGTTTGTAATTAGAGAAAAAAAAAGATCAACTAAAGTCTTCAGCATCTCATTTATTAAAATTAAATGCTAGCAGACAACCTTTTTTTTCAAAATTAGAACAAGAATTAGCAGAATGGATCACTAATTGTTGTGTACAAAGTTTACCAATCACTAGAAACGTGGTAACAAAAAAAGCCAAAGAGCTTTCACAAACTGAAACATATCAAAAAAAGTATCCTACAATTTCTTCATTCAAATTTTCACAAAAATGGATGGATTGCTTTATGGTCTGTCATGATTTTTCAAATAGGTGAAGAACAATAGTATCTCAATATTTACCAGAGAATTTGCTCGAAAAATAACAGAGTTTCTTAAGTTTTATTCTTATAGAAAAATACAACATGATTATTCACTTTAATGTATTGCAAATATGGATAAAACTCCTGTTGCTTTTGACTTATCTAATTCTTATACTTTAAAAAAGCATAGTTCTAATACTATTAGTATTAAAACTATAGGATATAAAAAAAAATGTTTACAGTTATCTTAGGTTATATGGCTGATGAGTCAAAACTACCTCCTGTTATTATTTTTAAATTGAAAAATAAACTTCAAGAAGATTTTCCTAATGATATATTTATTAGAACTAATGCAAAAGGATGGGTTAATGAAGAAGAAATAATCTAGTAGATTAATAATATTTTGTTTAAAAGAACTCCTGATCAATTATTAAATCCTAGATCTCTTCTTATTTTAGATTCTTTTCGTTCATTTAGTTGATTCTATTAAATAAAAATTGAATGAAGTTCATACTAATATTGCAGTAATTCCTGATAAATTAATATCTAGATTGCAACTTCTTAATGTAGCAGTTAATAAAAGCTTTAAATATAATGTAAGTATTAGTTATTAATTTACTGTTATATTTATTATAATATGAATTAAAAAAATTAAAATTTTCTTTTTTTTTAATATATAAGTTCATGAACTTTATAATGATTAGATGACAAATAAAGTTTATGATTTAACTTTAGCTAGACGTATCAAAAAACTATCATATTCTTTGATATCTTCATAGATAAAAGATGTATGAGAGAAGGTTAATTTAAATTTAATTCGTAAATCATTTAAATGTTGTGAAATTTCAGTTAAAACTAATAGTTCAGAAGATAATATGATTTTTGATTATGATGATCTTATGGTGGATAAAGATAAAGAAAATGAGTTATCAGATGAAAATAATGAAGAAAATAATGATAATGACAAAATCAAGTATAATAATTAAAATAATCTTTAATTTTATTTAATTTTATTTATTTTGTATAAAATTATAATTTTAAATAAAGATAATTTGCTTTTAATTTGTTTGATATATATTTTTATTGAAAATTTATTAAATTTAGCTAAAAAAAATCACCCATATGTATTACCTGGGTTTTTACAAAATTTCAGTCTAAAACCTTGGGAAGTAGTTTATACGGAGAGGGAGAGAAGGGGAGAAAGAGAGGTAGTATAGTTAGTGCTCTATAGTATTTTCATAATTTGCTCATTAGCATATCAGCTTTATTATTAAGACCACACTTTTCTAAGAAGAATTTGAGTGATATTTTCTAAGAGCAGAGTGGATTTGCATAAAACTTGTGTGAATATCAATTAGCATGCATCCAAAAAGTTTAAGAAAAGATGATTCAAAATTTAAAGTAAGATTAATTTTGATATTGATGGAATTTCAGCCTAATATTTTTTTAGGATCCTTATTCGCTTTCTTTACCTATTAGTTCCTTTGGAAAAAACTATCAGTTAGTAGTTTCTCTTTCCTACCAAAATAATTCCAAGTGAAGATAGATTTAAACATCAGCTTTCTTATGTGAGTTTGCTAACATTTGCTAAACTATCTATTTGAGAACATTTAATTTAGTGCCTTTTTCTATAATGAAAGACCAATCATATCCTAAATTATTAAAACTGAATTACATATATAAGGCAAAAGATTTCTAATATAGAGTGAATACCTTTAAAAGATTGGTCTGATTCTTGCAACTAAACATATTCTCTCTAGAGGAATCAGATTGTCTTTCTAGTATAAAGTCATGCAGATTGTAAAACTTAAAATGTATCATTTTTCACTTCTGAAGATTTATTATCTAATCTACGTGAATCGTGTGTTTCTATGTCTCATGTTAGAATTAATATTTGATTATGAGTAAAGAGAGAAGATGGATAGATTTTGTAAAGTAGTTCAAAATTGTCTATAGGGTAAAAACTATTAATGTAAACATAAAACATATGTGGTAGTGATAGAATTTTGCATAATATAGTACACTAAAATTATATTTATAATCACTTATTAATCCCTATCCAGAAAGTGGTATCTAATACTCTCTTGCAACTTTACAATAATATATGTGTATATTGTCTGAAGCTGTCTCTATTTTATATTCAAAATCAACCTTTGAATTATAATTTGAGATGATATCAATAGCAGTAAACCTTTCATCTCTATTGAGTGTGACAATATGAAGATACAGCTTTTTTTTCACATAGTAACTATAAATAAGATATGCCTTTATATATTCCATCTGGATTAGATTTATGTTCATAGTATTCCCCTTATTGTCTTCTCTAGTAGCAAGTATACTTTTTACTTTAGACCAGAATTTAAGAATACTTGTATTATTAGAAATACAAATATTAAAAAATACCTTGATGTCAGTAATGATGATAACTACTTTCTGGCTATTAATAAGATATCTATAGAGATGAAGAATATAATAAAG